ATCGTGATAGATATACATATCTGTTGGGGAATGGGCGAGGCTTCCAGATTTATTTCTTGTTCTTGAGGGCAACCTCATTTACAAACAAACACACACACACACACACACACACTAGTTTCCTTTCAACGTATCGCGGTAGTGGTTGCGCAACGGGCAAGTTTTGAGATTCCGGCCAAACCGACCCCCTCCGTTGCCGTCGCGCAGGAGGCGGGCGAAGGGCGCTCTCGGCCTCTCCATTTTCTCAGTGCTTCAGTGCCTATGCGTAGTAACACTTTGCGTTGGAATGTCTGTTTGTTTACTGGGGCGAACTCGTTGCGTTCTTTATTGGAAAGCATGAAAAGCAAACTAAACTATTTCCTTTTCACTCTTCTTATATTTTATTAGGGAAAAGTAGGGCGCCGACCCCTTTTTCCCCACTTTTGTTTCAAAGTGTGCGTCCTATTGGGTTTTGATGGAAGCCGTTGTGTATGAGGATATCCCCGACGCTTCTGTCCGGTTGGGGCGGTTAAAATTGGCGATTTTGGCGTTTGCCGGCGTTCCCGCCACAGCTCCCGCAGTGACTGCTCTTCTTGTTCCTGTTGATTTGTCATTGGCGCTTTCTTCCTCATCTGGGGCGCCATCGGCGAAGCTGGCGAAGGCTGCAACGGAGGGTCGATTGCGCCAGGCTTGCGCAGATCGCGTAAAACTGCGAACGTGGCTGCAGCGCGACCTCGGGATCACCTTGGACATATGGGTCGCAGTGGCTGTAGTTCCACGTGATAACACCGAGCTCACTTTACTAGCAAACTGGCAGATGGATCGACACCGTTCACCGTTGCGTCAGGCGGACGCTGTGTCGCTTTCACTGCATGAAGCGGCGCTGCTGTGGGGTGATGGGCGGGGTCAACCACCAATGCTTACGAGGTTTCTGCTGACGCATCAAAGTCTCCTTCTGGACGTGACGCGTTGCCTTGGCGAAAATAGTCGCCAGCTGGTTAATCCCGCGGTGTTCAGCCCTTTACGGGCGAAACACATGGCGAAAGGTCGCACGTGTGCGGTGGCGTTTTATTATGCCTGGCTGTCGTCGTCATCCACTACACGTGGACTCGCACGATTGCAGCAACAACTTGTTGATATTGCCAGGCATGTTCTTTCACCCATGCAGCTACCATTTTCATGTTCCTACGGCGGGGAGGTTGAGGCGCTGCAGCAGAACCTTGTCACGGTGGACTTTCCATTTCCAAGCGGAACTGAAGTGGCGGGGTCCAAGCCGAGCGTCGAGGCTGCACTGCTGGCGACCCGCTCGCTGAAGGATATATGTAGTCTTCTTGGCGTTCTCTTTGGTCGTCCGCTGGTAAACTATTACGCTGAGGTGATGGCTTTTTGCGCCTCGGTGCAGAGGCGGCGGCGAGCTGCGGGTTTTGTTTACCCCGCCAGCGCGGTGGCCGCGAAGTCGACTGGGACGGATACGACGGGCGGCGTGGATACGCGTCCAGCTGCCGAGCGGCGTCTGAAGCGAGGGCGAAAAGAGGAGACGGCGGGGCGGGACGGCCCCGTCGACGAGGCGGAAGGGCTGATGTGGTGTGAAGACCTTGGGAGCTGAGCGCGGCGGTGGGGCGAGGAAGGTGGAGGTGGCGCCTTGGACTGGACGGGGAAGTGAGACGAAAAAGAAAAGAAAGAAGAGAGAGAGAGAGAGAGACGGAAATTGGCTCCGCGCTCGTTCCCAATGGACAGCAGAGGGCCACGCTGGGGGGCGGCGGCGGACGAGGCAGGACCAGCCCCAGCTTCAGCCGCACGCAGAGGGTGAGCGCCTCCAATGGATGTCGCTTCCGCTGCGCCTTTTAGAAACTGCTATTATCTGGCTTGTACATCCCCGCTTATCCACTTCTACACATGCACATACTTTTTTTTTGTGATTTACCTACGCTCTCTCACGCGTCAAGCCTAGCCGAATAAACGAATACATTCATCTATCTATTTATCTATCAATACAAAAATATAGATAAAAGTATATATACATATATATATATATACTCTAAGCACAAAGGTGCAAAAGGGAAGACAAATTTAAAACGCCAAAAAGGTTAGAACAACAAAAAAAGGAGAAAGAATAACGTTTCTGCCGGCGAAGCGTAGGTGGAGGAGTACTCAAGTTCAGGAAAGAGGCCGGATAAAGCATCGGTATACGAACACACGTGCATTGAAACAAGGAACACACTTCAAGGTGGCGCGTGAGAGATGGATCAAGACTTAAAGTCCTCCAAGTACAAGGCCTACAATGTGGATGTGCTGCCCGAGGTGGAAGCTTACAACCATCCAGGGGGGAACTTTCAGGGAGATGCGGTGACTGGGGTTCCACTCTATCCCGATGAGACGCCAGGAAACCCGCGGCTGAGTCGCTTTGTGGTGCAGGGATATCAAGACCTATGGGCTGCCGTGCTATTTATTATTGTGTTTCTCCTGTCTTTGGCATGGGGAGCCGTGAATATGGCCACGTATGAGCCTATTACTTTAAATACAACCCAGCAAAGAATTGTCGAAATAGACGAAGGCGCAGTGGGGTTTTCCGTTTTCATCCTGTTGCTTATTATCTTTGTCGTTTCCGTTCTTGGGGCATGCGGCTCGCTGCTGCTGCTAGGCATGTTTCCAAGGCAGCTTATCTTTATTGCGAACGTACTTACGGCCGTGCTTACTTTGGTTGGCGCAGTTGTGGCCTTCGTCTCGGGTGCCGTCGCCGTCGGTGTCATTCTCGTTGTTGTATGCATCCTCCAGGCCCTTTGGTTGTACTTGGTGCGAGACCGTATTATGTTTTCTGCGGAGCTTCTTAAGGCCGCATCAGATGTCCTGACAAAGTACAAGGCCGTGTTTGGCTTTTCGTTCATACTGACTGCGTCGTCTCTTGTGTACATGGTATTTTGGTGTGCCATGTGCTTTCCCGCCGTGGACCGAATGAATGCTGGGTATAATAACGCAGGAGATGGTTTTTTGATCACGTTCTGTATGTTAATCTTTTTCTGGGTTTCACAGGTGGTGGACAACGTCATGCACGTCACAACAGCCGGTGTGACGGCCACCTGGTACTTTGCCGGAGAAGGACGAATGCCAAAGAATCCAACATCGGCCTCCTTCAAGCGGGCCACGACAACAAGTCTGGGCTCTATTTGTTTTGGGTCCCTTATGGTTGCCATCGTGCGCCTCTTACGATGGCTGGCGGAAAGTGCAAGCAACAACGAAAATGAGTTTATTCGCTGCATTACGATCTGTATCATTTCTTGCCTGGAGTCGATACTGGAATACTTTAACACGTACGCCTTTGTTCACGTTGCCGTGTATGGGTGCGGCTACATTGAGGCCGCCAAGCGAACCTGGCAGCTATGCAAACAGTGCTTCTTTGCCGCCTACTTTAATGATGCTCTCGTTGGATCCACCTTGAATCTTCTCGCGCTTGGTGTCTCGGCGCTGATTGGCGTCGTGGTGGGCTTCGTCTACTTTTCCGCCGCCGTTGGGACGGTTGCCTTCTTGGGCTCGTTGATGGTGCACATCCTCTTCTTCTCTGCGGTTGAGAGTGCCGTGACGACAATCTTTGTCTGCTTCGCGGAAGTGCCGGAGGGGCTGCAGTACTCCGCACCAGAGCTCTACGCCGCGCTGCACAACGCAGACCAGGGCGGCACGAACAACAATGCCGCCCCTCCGGTGCTGTGAAAAGACGCGCAGGGCTGCGGGGCGTGGGAGGGCGCCCGGCCTGGGGCCCGTTTTTTTCCTCTCGCAAGCGAGGCGCAGGATCTGCGCGGTTGTTAATACGTGCGCACGCGAGATACAATTAGAACGCGTTCAGGGCGGCTGTCGTTTGCCACAAGCAGTGCGGTAGTAAACCACCCCCTAAGCACGAGAGGAAGAAGAGAAGAGATGCGGACGGGGGGAAAGCAAACAAACAAACAAACAAACAACAGCAAGAGCAGTGAAGAGGAGTAGGAAGGCGCCCCCGCACTGTTCATCTTGCGATGCCGTGAGACAAGTGGAACGTTGTTTTTGTTTGTTTGTTTTTTGTTTTTCTTTTTGGTTGCTTTTGTGCTTGTTGCTGTTTGCCTCATTTTTCGATGCGTTTGCCTTGTTTTTTTTATTTGCTTTCGGTGTTGGGGCTACACCGGGGTGCTTCTCAAATACCACAGTCAGCCGGCAACGGGATGGGGTAGAAATTCGGGGGCGCGGCGGAGCCTGGAATGGGCGATGCGGGGTGGGGGGGAGGGGCGCAGCAGTCAGTGACGACCAGAAAACGGGGCAGAGAGGGACGAGGCAGCCGCTTCCTCCAGGGGTTGCACGAAGGGAGGCAATGATCTCCCTCAGCCTCTCTCTTTTTTCCCCTCCGTATTTGTGTGCGTATTACCCGTCCTCCTCTTCTTTATATATGGGACTTTATATATATATAAATATATGGTCTTATTTCAATTCCAGGTTGCTTTTTTTTTCTTGTGCTCAGTGCTGTTTTTTTTTTTTTTAGTTCCTTGTTTGTTTCTGTTTGATGTGCGTGAGAGAGAAACAAGAATGAGTGAGCCGTATGCCACCCCCTTAAGGAGAGGAAGAACGGTGGCAAGAAGGACGCTGGAAATAAGAGATGTCTGCCTTGCTTTTTCATGACCCCCTCGTTCCTACATTATGTGTGCGTGCCTGCGTGTGGGGAGGGCTGGTGGACGGCAGAGCAAAACATTAAAAAGTAATAAAAAAAAAAGAATACCCAGCCACTTTCCATCGCAGGGTGAACAGTGAGGAAAATGGAAATTGCGTAAACGATGACTCTTGCAAGTGTGGCTCCAGCTCTTTATTTTTGGATCTTGAGGAATAAAATGCGAAGGGGGAAGACGAAATAGCACGGATGGATTATTATAGAAGCCTGACTTTGTTCCATTTTGGCTGCAGTATGGGGCATCGATGCTTTGCGTTGAACCGCTGTGTCGGCTGTGTTACACACGGCCGGGTAACACAAACAAAAAGCTTGCGTATTTTGGGTGCTCGTTGATATTCCATTGCGCTCTGCTTCTTGTTTGTGTGTTTGCTTCTTTTTTTTTGTCTTGTCTTATTTTGGTGTTTGAAAGGGCAAATTACATCGGGGGGAGGGGTGGATCAACAACAAGCGAGGCATAGGCGCCGTGGAGGAGTAATTTTGCGGCCCCTCTTTTCTTCTGTGCCTCTGGGGCGTGGAGGGAGTTGGGGGTGCGGGCGTCGATGTTGCAAGGCCACGTGTTTGTCGCTGCGCCGGATGTGCCGCAGGATGTGCGGTCGCTGGTCGCCGCGTGCGGCGGCCGTGTGGTGGCCTCGCTGGAGGCGTCCGTCACCCTCGGCCTGGTGGTGCGTGGGGGGGCGGCGAGGCTCGACTGCGCGGCCCAGCTGCGCGGCCTGCGCATTCCGATCTTGCGCTCCAGCTGGGTGCGGGCGAGTGCGGCTGCAGGACGCCTGCTGCCTATGAAGCACCCGCACGCAGAGCACGACCCGGCGCTGTTTGAGTCGCTCCGCTTCACGACGACGATGTTTCCGGGCGACGCGAGGGAGCGCGTGGTGGCGGCGATCCAGTTCTTCGGCGGAACCTACTCCCCGGACCTGAGCAGCGCGACGGACATCCTCCTCTACGGCGAGTGGGGACGAACGGCGGGGGACGCCGCGGAGAAGACCGCGCGGAGCCTCAAGTGGCGCTGTGCGTGGGAGTGGGCGATCCCGCGTGTCCATGTCGCGTGGCTGCAGGAATGCATCTCCACCGGGCAACGCTGCGCGCTGCCGCAGTTCTCCTCCACCACAGCTTTGCCAGCGCCGCCGCCACCAGCGGCGGCGGCGGCAGCAGCAGCAGCAGCAGCAAGCAATTGGGATGAAGATGCGAGCAGCTGTGGCTCTGCGCATGAGGCCGCGGGCAAAAAGCGCGCTTCTTTTTCCCCTATTCAACGCCAGAAGCGCCCTCGTATCGATGCCGCAGACTCCGCTTGTGGTGCAAGGAAGCCAACCGTTTCACATGTTTCCCTGAGTCAACTGTGCGAGCGTGTTCTTGAGGGGTAGCGTGTGAGTGAGTGTGTGTGTGCGTGTGTGACAGTGTCACAGACGACTTCATAGAAAGCTATAGATTCTGGCAGAGATAGATACACGATAGAGCAATAGATCAGAGCATGCAAGAAGTAAGAAGGAACATAGAGTGAGCTTGTGTTGAAAGGAAGAGAGATGACGGAAGCACAATATGAGCTGTGCCGCACTGTGTAGGCAGGTGCACACGGTATTTGCGATGCAACGAGGCGTGTGTTAACAGCAATTCATTCATTGGGTCATTGCTTCCTTGCTTGCGTGCTTGGTTTTTCTTTCTTTCTTTTTATTTCCTCCAGGTATCCGTTGTTGGCTGCGGCGCTCTTTGCTAGACGGGTCAGCTAGCGTGGCCTCGCTACCGCTACCATCAACGACAAGGGAAGACAGAAACAACAACAACAACAATACGAAAAAGGGGCTCCCGGCCTTTGCCGACAGTGAGTTGCGTGCACGGCGGGGCGGAAGAGGGAAGGGGACGCAGCGCACAAATGTCGAACGCCGACGCCCCCAATTTCTTCAGCATTGTCGCGGAGTACGTGGACCACATGCTCCCCACAGACAACACCATGAAGGTTCTCCTCGTGGACGAGGTCACACTTAACATCATCTCAATGGCCTGCTCGCAGACGCTGCTCCTCAAGAAAAGGGTGTTCCTCGTCTGCCGCGTCGACGAGCACCGTCAGCGGCGGGCAATGAAGCGAATGCATTGTATTGTTTTTATTCGGCCGCAACCGTCAAGTGTAGAGGCTGTGGCTGAGGAGCTGCGGGCCCCCAAGTACGAAAGTTACGCCATCCACTTCAGTAACGCGGTAAGCCCGGAGCTGCTGGACAGGCTCGCACGCGCCGACGTGGATAGTCTAGTGAGTCGCGTCAGTGAGGTCTTCTGTGACTTTGAGGCCCACAACGCCGACGCCTTTGTCTCTGTAGTGTCACCAAAAGCCTTACTTCCAGCTTTTCTAAGCGCAGCCGCCGTGCGGCGCATTGCGGAGGGTATTGCTGCAACTTTTGTGGCCTGGCGACGACGGCCGTATGTGCGGTTTCAGCAGAGCAGCGCGTTTGCCCGTCGCGTGGCGTTGGAGCTGGGGGATATTCTCAGCAAGAACGCCGAGCTGTACAACTACAAGAACAAGGACAGTTTGCTGCTCATTCTCGACCGCAGCAGCGACGCACTTACCCCGCTGCTGACGCCGTGGACATATCAGGCCATGTTGCATGAGCACATTGGCCTACACCATAATCGCCTTCACTTTTCAGACGCAAACGTAGAGGAGGAGTATGTCTTCTCACAGCAAGATGACCCTTTCTTTGCGGCAAACATGTTTGCGAACTGGGGCGAGCTTTGCAACAATGTCAAGGCCTACGTGGATACGTGTAAGACAACGTTGAATATTAATCGCTCCACGGCGACGATGGACGAGCTCAAGGAATTCATGCAGAGGCTGCCGCAAACCAAGAGTTTGACGGGCTCCGTGACGAAGCATGCCACGGTGGTGTCGCACCTCTCCTCTATTATCAAAAAACGAGAACTGTTGGATGCCTCTCTGCTAGAGCAGGACATGATTGCCTCTCCCAATGCAAACGATCACTGGAACCGGCTGCAGGCCTTCGCGGCGAAACGGCACAGCGGCACTGTAGACACCCGGGACATTTTCCGTCTCTGCCTCATTTATCACTTACGGTACGAAAAGCCCAACCAGTCCTCTCGCGTGGCCACGCTCTTGGACGGCATTGCTGCACACCTGACGAGTTACCTGCGGAAACTGACGCAGTACTCCGGTGAGCGCCACACCGAGGAATTGTTTGGCGCCACTGGTGTCATGGCCTCTATCGTAAAAACTTTTGTAGACGTGGGGAATATCTATACTCAGCATGAACCAGTGTTGAAGCGAACCCTGCTGCAGCTTTTTAGCGGTCGACTTTCCCTTGAGCAGTACCCGTACCTGACGCCTCCCCCCACAGCAGCAGCAAACACGTCCCAGCCGCAGCAGCAGATGAGCTTTAGACCAAAAGATGTTACCGCGTTCATGTGTGGTGGATTCACGTATGAAGAGGCCGCGTTAGTGAATGCAATCAACGCGGGCACGGCGTTTACGGGATCTGCCGCCAACTGTCTTCCCCAAGGGGGAGTGCGTGCCTCCGTTGGTGGAACCGCCGTGCTGAACAGCGAGATGTTTCTCAACATGCTATGCACCCACCCATGAGTGGGGCGGGGCTGTTCCCAGCAGCGAGCAGCGGAGGCAAAACCAGACCCAAAATGCCTCTCTATGAACTCTCCTTCCACATTTTCATCCCGGAGAATACAAAAGAAAGAAATAAAAAAAAATGCAGACCTTCATGAAGAAGTGAAACCATGTTGTCCGATGAAAAAAAAACAGAGTCCCATATATATATATAGCTATAAATGTGGATGTATATTTGTATGTGTCTGGAGTAAATGTCTCACCAAAGATTTTTCTTTTTTGGACGGTGTTGCCTCATTTTGCTGTTTTTTGTTATTGATTTCCTGCTCTTCATCTTTCACGTCTTCCGCACGTGACCACGCGCGTTTGCTTGCGTGCCCTGCATGCAACAACTTTGGGAATCATCTATGCGCTCAGGAATGTCAACAGATGTGCTTCTGGCTGCACCTGCAGCCGGCTCTGTTAGTCGAGGTGCTGTAGAGGGCGGGATTGGCGCCTTGTCGTTGGTGGAGCTGCTGGTGGAGTTGTCGCGCTCACTGACGTGCAACGCTGGCCGGAAATATCGTCGCGGGGACCACAGGGCGATAGCTGTGGAAAACGTCTGCGACTGGAGGCCTGCCGCGACCCTCCGCTCCGGGGAACCGACGGCGGTGCGGAGGAAGCGGCGGCGCGAGGTCCTCAATGCCTTTTTTGATTCCTCTGGCGCGCCGAGGACGACGCCAGTGTCCGCCACGTCACCCACAGTATTCCGTCGGCACATGCGTCAGCTTTTTCAAAGCGCCAAGCAGAATATAAGGCAAGTTACAGAAACTTATGCAGCGTTGCTCGAGCTGCTTTGCAGCGCTGTCGTCCCTGATATCGACTCGGTGGAGGATTTTCAGGGCGCGGCGGCTCCGTCAGGGGTGTCTGAGGCCAGTTTGATGCTGTACATTATCCTGCGCACCAGTATTGCCGCCGCCCCAAGCTCGCAGAAGCCCCCTGTCATTCCACGCTGTTGGTTGTCACCTTCCATCACGGAAATGGTGGAGCGATCCCCGGTGCTGCAAAGAACGATGCGGTGGTCGTGCGACCCCGATCCCGTGGTGGAGGCCGCACTCGGCGTGGACCCCACCAGGTATGCTCGCCTCGCCTTCGAGCCGTACATGTCCTACGACTTGCCGGAGCTCAGGGCGTATTATACCGACCCCGCTGGTGCGGCGAAGTCGGCCGTCGTAGGTGGGGGTAGGAGAAGTTTATTTCTTGGTAATAATTCGGAAATGGATGCGGCGCATGATGTTCCGCACTACTGGTGCGCAACGGATGAGGAGGAGGTGCGGTGCCTCTTCGCTAGAAAGTGTTCGAACGCTTCGGACACTGAAGTGGGACTCTGCTCCACACCACAGACGACGCAGCGCGATCCCTCGGTAGCGTATGCGCCGCCTCAGTTGAGAAGCAAGGCAGCGAATTCCTTTTGCTCCATCTTCAGGGAGGAGTATCCGGCGACTTCTCCGTTTTGCTCCCTCCTCTTTGTTGCCCTTCATCACGGGATCGTTGGACAGCAGGACCCGTACCTACTCCTGCGGCTGGAAGAGAGTGGCGGGAGGGAGTGCTCACCACCAGGCGCCATGCCTTTCCCCAGCAAGTTGTCTTTTTCGCAGTTCAGTGAGGCGGCAGAACATGCCTCGTCGACGTTCCCTGTAAGCATTGGTGTTAGCCCGGAGTTCCTCCTTGCGGCGGGAGGCAAAGGAGGCAGTGAGGCGATGACGAGAAGGGGCGTGAATAGGACTGCCTTCGACGAGCAAGGAAGTGTAGAGACTGAGGAGCCGCAGTGCGTGAGGGGCGTTATCGCCATGTTGCAGTGGAGTTGTCAAAGTGGAACTCTTTTTTTGCGACTGCGTCAGCTGTGTGAAGTGGCGGAGCGACCCGAGTGGCGGGCGGCGCTGGGGCAGTATGGAAAAAGTGCCATTGAGGCGCTGCGTTGGCTGCTGCTCTCGCTGCAGCGCCTCGTGGCGGAGATGGGCGATCGTGCTGGGGGTCCACACTGTGTGTCGTTCAAGGAACTTCTTCTGGCCCAGCGGAGACTCCGGCATGTTGCGGAGGATATCACTGCACTGAGTGATGTTCTTCTTGTGCATGCGAGGGCAAACTGGGAGGCGTCTCAAGCGTTGAGGGAACTGTCCTCTGCCACGCTGCTAACTTCACTCTACAGACATTATGCAAAGCGAAGTGTCAACAACCAATGGCGGTGTCGATGCTTGACCGTTGATGCTGCGACTGAGGCTCCCGTGGGAAGAGTAGATGTTATCGGTGAGCTGTTTATTGCTGTCTTGAGTCCGCTGCATCACATGTTGGGAGCCTGGCTCCGTGCTGGTGAGCTAAATGACCCCTACGATGAGTTTTTTATACTGCCCTCTCACGGCACCACCGCGTGCGGTTTCCGCGTGGATACTTCCGCACAGCGTCTGCCTGAGTTCATATCACCGGAAGCGGCGGAGCGGATTCTTCATGCGGGGGTGAGTCTGCGTGTTCTCCGCGCCGCCGCGCACCACGTGACTCTCTGCGCCACGAAGGAACAACGGCGGTTGAGGAGCCAAGCCGAGGATGTTGACTTCGCTGCTCTCCACCAGGAGCAGATGAATGACGCCAACGACATCAACTGGCTCTTACGCGACTTTATGGAGTTGCTGCTGGGCAACCGTTTGCCTGCAATGTTTCTGAAGATGCCCGAGGTGAGTCTCCTGACGCAGGAGGGATCCCTCGCGCACTGGCAGGCCTTCTACGGTGCATGCAATAACGTGTTGCTCTCGGTAGGAAACGAGACGGAGCGCGAATCGAATAACAGCCCCCCGTCTGGACCCCTCGAGCTGGTACGTGTGGTTCCCGTACACTCCGTGGTGGGGGATGAGGCGCTGAGAAGCGTCTGCACCGGCGAGCGTGGCGTTGTGGGAGGAAAAGCGAAATCCCTTCTGACAAGCTTGTCACGCCTCTCAAGGACTACAACGGCATGGCAAGAGGCTGTCTGCGAGGAATTGGCTCAGTGTGCCCACGCCACGAGTCGAGAGGAGGCGGCGGCCAAGGCGAAGGAGCGCGCCGCACTTCGCTCAGCCTACGAGAGGAAGATATTGCACCGCAAGTCCCAGCGGCAGCTGCAGCAATGGAAGGCACAGCGCCTTTCCTTAAATCTGGAGAGGGCCGCCGTGCTGTCAAGGTCGGTTGACGACTTGCTGGAGCTGTACGCCCGCGTGCTGGGTCAAACTTCCACGGCGGTGGAGGAAGAGCATGACGAGGCCGCCGAGGATGGTCGGCGGACGCCCCTAGGGAGGTTTGTCATACCTCTCCCCCACCTAACCTCCCCCGCAGAGGCTGCTGAGAGGGCCACGGCAGTCACCCGAGGGAAGGTCACTCTGTCGTTGGAGACTTCGGCATTTTTCAGCAATGAAGAAGCGCCCTGTGAGGCGTCGACCGTTGCAAAGCCTCGTGCCACAGTCCCACCCCCTCGTTGCGGAAGTAGCTCCATGTGGATGAGTTCCCTGTCGCTCTCGCTCTACTCTGGGCAAAAATGTTTTGCCTGGCAAGAGGAACTGCCACGGGCAGAGGTGCCCGACGCGGAAATGTACGCTGTGGCCGACATCAACGACGAGGAGTACCTGATGAAGCGGGCAGGGCCTCAAGTAAGTGACGCAAACGCGAGGGAAGCGATGTTTGCCCAATTTGATGCGGCCGAAGCTCGTGTGCAAAACTACGTTGTGTCGAGCGAGGCATACCAGCAGGCGTGCAGGGAGGTGGCTATGAAGTCGCTTCAGAGTGAGGGCAATAGCGGCTGCAGGACCATTGATAACGATGAGTGCATTAGCGACTACTGGTGGACAAATCCGACTGCGGATGAAGGAACCCTCTTCGGCCACCAAGCATCCATCTCCTTCGCGTTGATGGAGGCTTCGCAGGCACCACATGCTCTGGCCGAGGAGCACGCAAAGCGACTTCTGCACTGCTCCTCCTACTATCTCACACTGAGCAACTACACCGCGAGTTACTTGACACACAAGGCACACAGGTAATGCTTTTGGGCCCCTACGGCACACTTCATCGCCTGACGCAGCAGTTTATGGACGTCTGCCTCATGCAGAGTGGCCGCGTGGCGGATCGTATGACGGGACTCTGGCAACGCCTCACAAAGTCGGCAATTGAGGAAAACAAATTTGCTGCTTCAGCTTGCATGACCAAACTCAACGCGGCATTTGTGGATGAATGGGAATCCTGCGTGCTGTATGGGCGCGACACTCTGCAGGTACAACTTGCGCTTGCAGTTCGGGATGACGCTGAGGTCGGGGCCGACGCCTTTCTGGCGGCAAACGAAGAGGAGGAAGGCAGTGGTGCTGGTGGAAGTATGCTGTTTCAAGACACGGCCTTTCGAAGACGCACGCTGGAGCCTGTATCACCGCAAAGGGCGGAAGAAGAGGCGGAGCAGGAACAACAAGATGACGCGGAAAGGGGCCGAGTGGGAGAGGATGCAGTTTCGCTTCCAGATAACCCGTTTGATTTCATCTCCCAGCTCACCATGGTCTACAGCACGCCATGTGAGGGGTTTTGGCTCCTGCCAAAAAATGCCGTTGCTGTGTACGGGGATTTGTTCAGCACATTGCTTTTCTGGACCTCTGTGACGCAACTTGTGACGCGTGTGTGGCATGTCGGGATTAATTCAGACGTGCCCGAAGCCTTCTTCTTTTGCAACATCTCCCGCACCGTGCTGAGTGCCGTGGCACAACACATGTGGTTCCTTATTGCTGGTTTTGCCCGTGAGTATCGTCAGGGACTGCGCTTTGAGTCCGGTGTTCTCTACTCATATCGTCAGCTGGAGCGTTTCACGACGGATCATGCGACATTTCTCGAGCAGTGCCGCTTTGCCGCAATGCTGACCCCCACCTTTGCCCGTGCCCGGCGGCAGGTATACGGAATGGTGCGGCAGCTGGAAGAGGTGGAGCAGTGCCTGCTGCGCGCAAGCGAGGAGAACGCGGCGGATGCAGCCACACTTCGTTCTGTTTCCATTGGCAGCACGGACAGCAAAGCAACAGATGTGGCGGCCGCCCGCGCCCTTGTCAGTGGTGTTGGGGGCAAGGGAACGAAGGGCAAGAAGAGGGCGAGGACGTCTGAAGAGGAACTTGGGGCAGGCGGCGGCGCTGCAGGTCATGGCCTCACGCTCCGAAGGACAGCGTCGCACTCACAGACATCCATGGCATCGCCCTCTGACGTGCCCTTCAGCGGGCAGCGCAATCCTCGCGGAAGCTTGAGGGAGCGGCGGCGGCAGCAACTGGAGGATGACGTGGCGCGGAGAATGGAGGCGCGACGACGTACTGTGCGAGATCACGTGCGCCGTCGTCTACGCTCCTTCGCCGGGCTAACGGAGATCTTCGTGGGGCACCTCACTGACGTGCGGGACAGCGCCGCTGAGGACGCCGAGGTGCCGTTCCTTTCGCAGGACGAAGAACTCGCGGAGGAGGCGTCACCGCGGGGTACGGCCCGCAACACGGCCCGCGCCCCCGCGTTGTCCTCGCTTATTCGCACCTTGGAGATGATACAAGCTGCCATTTGTGTCAAATTGTGAGTCTCCCCCTC